GCTCATAGTCAAAATATTAAACCATGCAACAATTGTGCAGATCTTCTAGCAAAAAATGTCTAAATTTTTACCTTGTAACACTGGAAAGATAAAGTCTGCTGTGCACTGCCTTGGAAAATTATCAGTGTCACACAAATTGCTAATAACGCTTAGCATTTTATAGCAGCTTCTTTCTAAGTGACTCTGCATAGGTAGTGATTAGATGCTACAGTGTATTACGCTGGCATTTACATTTTAAAGCCATTTCTGAAACTTAAGTTTCAAAACATCCCCATCACTTGTTTCCAAGATATCTCTCTTATTTTTCACTGACAGCCATAGCCTGCGTTAGTTTCTCCACTGATCATTGAAGCAGTGAGAGAATTACTTGGGGACAGTAAACATAGCTCTGACTGTTGGGTGGAGCCTGCAGCTACAGGTCCCTGTGAACAGAACAGTGGTTCCACCGAGAAGCCATTTTCTGGCTTTGGACAAGTGGTGGGGACAGGTGTACCTGGGGTCAGCTGTGAGGACATGGTTGTGTTTCTGTCAACATGAAGTGGAGGTGCAGCACTTGTGCTGGTTTTGTGCTCTTATGGCAGAGGACAGAAGCCACCTGGTCCAGTGTAAAGCCTGCTGGTGTCAAGCTGGCATATCAAAATCTGTTAATGAACTTCAATAAGCTCGCACAGAGTCTGCGCTCAGTGTCATGCTGCCACAAAGCTTTTGATCTGCTGCATGGAGCGCTGCAATCAGATTTGTTGTGTCATTAGACTATAGCAGCTATCACTGGCTCATCCCAGGAGTGTCGGCTATCTGTGTCTTGTCACCTGTGAGACGCGTGGGTCACCGCAGCCTCAGCACTTGCAATACCTGCTCTGGTCTTGAGGAGTGACGTCAGTCACCTGAAGTCAGTGTTGGCTGTTCCCAGGGCCACCTGAGGCACGCCACCAGGGTCAGCAGTGACCAGGGTCAGCAGTCACACTGTCAGTCAGACAGAGCACTGACAGCGATCACTCATCTTACCGATGGCACTTTTGGTCAGAAACTGCCAGCCAGAGCCAGCCATCCTGCCAGGCAGCCCAATGCCTCGTTACCAACTGGCTGGTTATAGCGGCCCTCTCACTCGCCTCGGATACCAGAACCAACAGAATTTATACCAAAAGCACAAGAAATATTTTAGGCCAGAAATATTTTTAAGTTCTTTCGTACATGTAAAAATAAAATCAACTAAAATGAGGTGACCAAAGCAGCTGTTGAAGGTGGTTTGCCCACAGTGTAACCTACTACACTACACCTACCTAGTGTATGTTTTCACTGTTCCCTGCAGATGGAGCAGTATGTTGGCGAAATTAAAGGTGGCCTGAGACCAGCCATGAAACTCACCGTCATAGGGGTGGTACACTCCAGCCCCAAGAGGTAGGTGAAGGGGATGGTGGGGACTTCACCTCTGTCACATGTGTTTCTACCTGTCTTCTAAATTCAAGTGATTTCTTCAGGGACTGTGCTCTTTGGAGGAAGAAAGTAATATAGATTCATAATTTCTAGCTCTGTTTAATTTTCCTCCTCTCAGACTGAGATTAAAAGGGTGAGAAAGAATTCACTATTTGGACCTTCTGACTGCCCTGCCAGTGTTTTCTACTCCTTGCTCTTACGTACTGTGAACCAGAGAGGGCACACAAGGGGTGTTTCTCCTCCAGGAAGAGGTGCAATTTTGAACTCACATCTCGGTTGTCTGCTGCGGGCTGGAATCGACACCATTTGAAAACCAGTGGTTTTGGCACAGCGAGTGCAGATTCATTGCTATGTTTAGTCTGGATGGCAGCAACTGTGCTGTCATTACACTTTTTTTGAATCTGCAGTCATCAACTCCAGTGCAATCAACACTTGTGAAGAGTTTTCTATAACCTCTTTTAGGATACAAATGTGTTTGATTCCTGTCACAAGAGAGGGAAAGCAACATCAGAAGTCCCTAGCATCCTACCGGAAACCAGAGGAGAAACAGAGACTGACCTGTTCTCATCCCTTTCCGCAGCTTTTAAGCCTGTGCAGAGTTCCTGTAGGAGCCCCGTGTTTCAGTCTGACAAGAAATCAATATCTGTCTCTAGTCTGTTCAGGCTTCTGATGTGCTCACTATGTTCTTTCACATTTCTGAAAGTCCCAGTCATTTGTTTTTTCAGCTTTTCAGTGACTCTGCTCTGTGATCCAGTGGACGCAAACAAAGATGTTGGGCTGTTATTTACAGTTAACTTTAGTGACAAATCCATCACCCGAAATGCACGAATTGCTGGGAAATGGGGAAGAGAAGAGAAGACTATTCCCTACTTCCCATTTGTGGCAGGCGACACATTTAAGGTAATTTTTGGGGTACTATGATGAGGGTGGAGAAAAGAGGGGGAGAAAGGCTGAAGGCTACTTATATGATCACAAATTGCTCACTATTGAAACTCCCAGGTTAACTAGTCTGGTATGGCACAGAGAGCAACAGTTTGAGCCCCGATGAGAGAGGTCCGTTCCTTTCTCTAGTCTTAGTGAGAGAACTTGCTATAAGGAGCTTTACAGCATCATCTCAGCACAGATTAGGTTATTTATTAGGGGCATTTCAGAAGAACTGGTAGACTTTGCGCTTCACTATTCACATCACGTGGGGTTCTAAGTTCATGCTGGTGAATTCAGCTCTGCAGCGTGTCTCTACCACCATCCCCTGTCCTTTTCCATTGCAGATGGAGCTCTTATGTGAACACCAGCAAATACGAGTCTTGCTTGATGGACGGCAGCTCTGTGACTTCACTCACCGCATTCAGCCCCTGAACTTGGTGAAAGCTTTGCAGATCACAGGGGACATCAAGCTTACCAAAGTGGCTTGAAAAAAAGGAGACCACAATATCACCAGAGGACAGAGGCAAATGTACTTTCTCCTCTCTGAGAAATATTTTGTCTTTTTCCCCTGGCTGATTCTGGAGAGTGGGAATTGTATCTTTTTCATTTATATTTTTATCTATATTTATATATTTTTCATTTCATATGTTTGAAACATACACTTTTTTTTCCTCATACACACTCAGCAATTGCAGAGCTATGCCTGGTCCAGATAAATCAGAGATCTTTGCTTAGATACTCTCTTGGCCTCTCAGATGGCAAGATTCATGATGCTATGCAGTATCTCACATCCTCATGTTCCTCTAATCCCCCAGGCATGCCAGCTGGTGGAGGTCACCCTCTGTGGTGGGGTGGCTGTTACCCTTGTGACTAGAACTGGGCAGTATGCAGGTGGTGGGACTGAGAAAAAGAGAAGCAGAAGATTTCCTTATAAGTAAATAAGGGAGTCTGGTGGGCCCCAGCAAGGCTTATGTTACCAGGAGGGAATTGCTTTTCCTGGAAGCTCTGCTCAGTCAGCACAAAGCCATTTGTGCTTCCCAGTACAGAGCATGCAAATGCCTTACCACCATCCTTGTCTTTTGCAGGTAGCGTTCTTGTGAACTGAAAGGTTTCAACAGCTGTGGATTTCACAGTGTTCTCTGGACCAGCCCTAGGAAATGGTATTTGTAGCTGAAACTGCATTGATCATTCATGTATTCAATTAAAACTGCATATTTTCTGGCAAACTTCTTTACTAGCTCTGTTAAATATTTGAATACACAAGAGTGTTGTGCTGTTATTTCATTGCTGTAGAAAAAAGTTCTAAATACATGGCTAGTCTACTAATACATATTTAGGCATGTATCATAGCTGCTGCCTTTGGCTCTGTTGTAATTACTTGCTTATAACACAGGATGAAGGGTAAAGTCTCTAGATGAAGATACTTTTTCTCAGTACATAAATAGGTGACCAAAAAAATCTGCAAAGAGGTGATTCTGTGGATAGTGAGCTATCGAAGTCCACTGTGACTTCAGGGACAATATATCGCATGCAGTCTTCAGAGGGCTTTCCGAGGCTCTGCAGAGTCTGTCTGTCAGATACAGGTACGCAGATAACATGAGGAATTCTATGAAAATAGTATATCAGCAGGCTGGGATGGTGTTTTAATCATCTCATACATTCCATTCTACCCTCTGATGTTGTGGAGAATGTCTCGGTTTCTATATAAAACTAAATTTACAGTCTATGAAACCATTATTTTTGTATCCTCAAACTGCCTCCTGAGAAAAATTGTGTCTAAAGAGCATAGGAGATTCAAACGCGTGGAACTTTTTTTATATTTAATGATATAAAAGTCAAGTTTACTAGACAAATAATAGAAAATTTAATGGCTTAAAATAGCAAAAGCAACAGTTGGATCTGCTATTAGAGTTCTCAGTCCCAATGGTACTCCACATAAATGGACTTACGGTGATAATCAGGAGGAAAAGTCTTGCTTTTATGGCTGAGTATTTCTTCCAATATATTCATCACCAGCAATTGTCTGGAATAACTACCAGTGGTCTGATTTGATACTCAGGATCCTGTACTACTATGGGCCATTACCAGCACAAGAATAATCTATATACTGGAGAGGAGGATCTTTTGGTCTTTTTCAGCCTAGCAGAGAACCAAATGGTGGAGCAGAAGGATGGACAGACAGACCTCTGGTTTGTTTTGCAATAATGATTATCCTGGCAGCTGGATTGCGGCTTAGCACAAGAGTCTTGTGATATGCCAAGAAAGGCAGCCTCAGACACCAGGATCTTTCATGACTTTGATTCAATAAGTCTTAACTAATTAAGTTTATGAGCCCCTTTATAAAGGGGAAAGGTTGCTTTAGGATAAAGCACGACCTGGCTCTGTCAGATATAGACTGAATACTTGTACAAAAGAATTATTTTCTTCTGTCTTGGAATATTCTATCTCATTGTTTCCTTGTAAAGCCCTGTTTGTCTGTATCCACCTGTTGTCTTTTGTCTCTTGGTTAGATGGTAAGTTCTTGGTGTGGAATTATTCTGAATCTACATGACTCGTAGGCACCTAGGATGCTGGTCTGCCAGGAGTTGCTAGGTGCTATGGTGATACAAATAACGAAAGTAGACTATCTAAGGGAAAAACAACACTCCCAGACAACGAGAGCAGGAAACTTGGTCACAAATGTGACTTGTTATTTGGCACGGAGTGCACCTCATGTCAGTGGTTTGATTGCCTCAATCCACTGTGTTCGCTCTGCCTTGGAGCTGGCCTGGATATAATAATGAATGTCATTTTTGGTGATGATTTTGAAAAGGTTGCCTTGCACGTTGCCCTTCACTCCTGCAAAGAAAAAAACCACGACAGATCAGGAAGCTGTACAGAGAAATAAATGTATGAAGCTTCGTAGGGAAGAATTTTAATTTAGTGAATTAGAGTATCAGACCTTTCCATTTCATTATGGATGGACATTTAAAGTTCTTGTGTCTTTGATTTCCCTTCTGCAAAATAAAGATATAGTACAGATATTCCTCACACAGACTGCATGAACTACTGTGTACTATGCTTCACATATAAAATAGCCACTGTTTAGATGAAGGAACCTACTTGAGTTATACATTGGAGGGATGAACTTCCTACCAGTTTGTGCAGTAGATTAGATTTGCTCCTGCCCATCTTCAGCAAGGAGCGCTATTGTTCTTCATGGCCCCCTGCCCTAGACCATATCTTTTTCAGACCCTGTCTTTTGTCTTTAGAAAGACGCTCCAGATTTGAGATCCATACGTTGTGCTTACTGTCATAAAATAAATGGCTTTAACAGCAGAAACACTTATCTGTGAGGCTGAGGTTCCAGACAAATGCTTAAGCTAAGCATATTCACTAGCAGAACTCTTTTTTTGTATTTGCTGTCTTTATGTCTTCTATACATTTGGGTTCTAGCATATCAAAAAAGAAAAGGTAGAGAGGACACACAGAAAAGGGATGACATCACCGGATGCCTCAAGACTGAGATAAACAACACCTAAAAAGAAGGTGTTTCCTCTTCATCTGTTAACTCTGAAATATTAATCAGCATCTTAGGACTGTCTCAGAGGTCATCCGACTGAGAAAAGCCCATAGAAAGGGGAACACCCAAGATATGTGGAAATAACACTTTAAAAAAAATCCCCTCTGGTATGCACAACCCAGCAGCATGGGGATTTTTTTTATGCTATGCCTCTTCCCTTGCTTGCAAAGGAAGAGTAAAGGCCAGCCCACTTGTGCATATAGACATGCACACAAACCTACACCCAAAGACTGTATCGCTATGGCATAAATACCTATGTATGAAAGTTTAGAGGCTCGTGCTTACCTGCTGGGACTCCGTTGTCCTCCAGAGCTGAGACAAGACAGCCACGAAGAGAAAATCCACCTACTGGCCTGTTTTCTTCCTGAAAAGAAAAAGGAAATGAGGCTTATCTGGAAAACATCACCATTAGAATAATTTCCCAGAGCACAGCACCTATTTTGATGAAGGTAGAGATGTAATGCCAGTCTTTCCAGATATAAAACACCCATGTCACAAGAGACGCCAATTAGGAGATGTAATTACATGCATTACTATGTTGTTTCAGTCTCAGATGTTTCTCTGATGAAGCTGGGAATGGCAGAGATAAATTAAAAGCACAAGGGTAGGCTAACAATCACATTTCAAACTTATGTATAGACATCAATATATGTGTGTGTGTATCATATATATATATACATACATACATATATATATATATGTATTTCTGCTTGCTGCTTTTCACTGAGACTGTGTGAGAAAACTTTGACTGCTTTCACCAGTAGGCTGGCTCTCTTCTAATCTTCATGTTCTGTAGTTTGAGTTTATAGGCTGCCCAGGGAAGTGGTTGAGTCACCATCCCTGGAGGTATTTAAAAATCATGTAGATGTGGTACTCAGGGACATGGTTTAGTGGTGGACTTGGCAGTGCTAGGTTAACAGTTGGAATCGATGATCTTAAAGGTGTTTTCCAACCTAAACAATTCTATGATTCTATTCAAGGGTGAGTTGCAGTGCAATAAAAAGCACACAAAGAAACAGGCAACAAAAAAACCCCTACTCCATAAGCTTTTTTCACTGTTACATTGTCTGTGTTTTCTTTAAAAGTCACGTAAAACATTTCTATACATGTTGTTTTAGCAACCTATTGGGCTTTGTGGTACACTATGCGTCTGGGGCTGATGGATCCACATGTCCTTCTGGGTTGCTCACATTGATTATTATATCAGGAGGGTAGATGCAGGGATAGAAGATCCTGGAAGGACAACCTCTCAGGGTAAGGCCAGAGAGGTCTTATTCCCCAGTCAATAGATAGGAGAACCCAGAATGAGATTTCAGTAAGAGAAACATTTAAAGCATAATTGTATTTCATTATAATGTTTAGGTCTGTAAGAGGATTTCTGGGGGTAGTAACTCCCCACTCACATACCTTAGTGGGGTCATAGTAGTGCAAAAATGCAGGATCAGCTCTCAAAACAAATCTCCTCACCTTCCAGTTTTTCCTCTTGTGCCCCTGCAAAACAGAAAAATTAAAGTTACCACCAGTAAATACCTGCTGCAATGGCTGTTCTCCTGCAGGCTGTAGAGAAGCCCTAAGCAGGTACTGAAAAAAGAGGGTTTGGAACAAATAGAGAAATTTTCTTTTCTGACATCTTAGTAACTCCCAGGATTTTCTGCTTTTATCATCCTCCTTCATGCATTGATAACTCCATTTTCTCTCCCTTCCTTGTGTTAAGAACCAAGAAAGCAGAGTGACAGGACCAAGTGATTATATACGTGGTTCCTGCTCCTAAGTTCAGATTCATTATGGGTCTTGGATTAAAAACCCATGCTGTGTGTGCTCTGAGGGGATTATATCAGGTTTGTTTGCAGCTCTTCACTCTTCTCCCCCAGCCCTCTCAGCTTCTGACAGTGTAGGACAGTGCAAGCTTGTACCAGGCCCTGAGAGCATTACTCGGGTCCTGGAGGTTTGGTGCTGGGGCTCAGGGCCAGCCTATGGTTGGGGCTGCTAGAGGCTTCTCCTTGCTACTGCTGCCCATGGGGGAAGGCACTTGGGCAGTTCTCATGACCTGTGGTGATGGGGGGGCTGCTCTGCCAGCCCCATGGGGATCCTCTAGCAGCTTCTAGTACCCAGCCCCCAACCAGCCCTCGCTGCATCCTGGCAGCAGGTGGAGGGAGATTTGGGGAGTGTCTGAGGATCCAGTTTGCATGACACAAAAATTGCAGCTCAGGGTACAAAGCTCCAGAGTAGAAATGTGGCCATGTGGTACAGGTGGCAGCGTTGTGCTTTGGAACAGTGTGATTGATCCTCATCTTGATCACAGCAAGGGCTGACTAAGGTGGGATCCTGTACACAATTACTGCTGACAGGTAACCGCGCCCAAAGAAAACAGGTCTCACCACCACCAGAGCATCCATGTACATAAGTAACTGTCCACAGGTAAATGTGACTTCATGCAAAAGGCAATCTACTCACCTTTGAAATCTGTGGCCATGAGAGCATCATAGCTGCTCACACAACCTGAATGGGATAGGTTAAACCAGAGGAACAGTGGATCCACTTGGAAGTGAATGTAACACCTCTGGTGGGATTTGGAGTTTCTGTGGGACTTTTGGTTTTGATACTATTTCATACCTTTTAGTATACCCTCAATATATACAGAATATCCAATTAATCCTGTCTGAGCAGCAAGTTCCATAGCTCACTTCTTCATCACTAGATACTCTTCACCATGTGATCTCTGACAGTAGTGCTGAGAGACAAGTTAGCTCCGCTCGCCACAACTCTCCAGTCGCGCTTGGATAAATCACAGTTTTTTTCTCTAGGAAGCCCTAAGAGCTGTCATTTTTCTTGTTTCCCAGGGAAGGTTCAAAGATTGTATTTACCTGTTTCACTAAGAATCCTTGCTTCACAATTGTGCCGCTTAATTCAGAGACATTAAATTGTAGCTCTTCTTTGGAACTTATATTTTTCCTACTGCTCTCAGCCTGCAAATAGGGAAAAGATGGTCTGACTTTTTAATCTAAACACATTTTAAAGTATAAAGTTCTGCATTTTCTTTTCCTTGAGCTGTTTTTAGCTCATATTTCCTGAGTAAACACTACTCTGTAGCCCTGCTGCTCAGCTTTGTAGGTCTGAGATTTACAAGCAGCAAATTACAGCTGTAAAGCCTACACATGCACTGTGGCCTTGAGTATCTGCATAGCTACAGCATGGCCTCCATTAAATGCAGACACAGCACTGCAGTGGAGAGACATACCCCTTTTAATGCCTAATTATGTGCGAGTGTTTGCACTATTAAAAGCCCAGAGCTGTTTCTTCTGCATTTACTTTCATAGCCTGCATATTTTGTCTTTGGTTGCATGCTGTGTGTGTCCCCTTTACCATGGCCCCAAATCAAGTGTGTGACCAGAGCCAGAGGAGGTGCCTCTGTTGGCAGCTGTGTCACTCACAAACATGTACAGAGCAGTGGAGTTGTCAAGGAACTGCTCAGAGAGGTCACTGTAGCGCATGGCCTCAATGCTGTGGGCTCCCACCGCCTTGATGAAGTTCTCCTCCATCAGCATGGATGCCAAGGTGACGGCCTCAAATCGTGACACAGCAAAGCTATTGGAGATGAGCCAGTCCACCAGGGCAGAACCTGCAGGGAGAAAGGCAGCTTTCAGACCAAGACAATGTACTCTTCCAAGGTGAGACATGGTCTCCTGTCACGCACGTCTCCGTTTGCTGAAAAATTTTGGCACCATCAGAAAGACTGTCAATGAAGTGCAAGGTTGACTGAAAGTGTGGGGTCCTACATGCACTTCCATATATCCAAAGAGCAAGAGAGGAAGGTGTCAAAGAGCTTGGCTGCACCACTCCTTTCCACTGGGCCACAACTGCTCCCACCACAAAGGCAATACAGTAGCTCCCTCGTCCCTGCAGTGTGGCATTTCAGCGGTGAGGAAGCTCTTTGCCTGCAGCAGGTGTACCTGTGAAGGTCTCTTTGTATCTGTTGCCTTGCTCCAAGTTGCAGGTCAGCTTAATTCCAGTACTGTTGTCATACATCCTCTCCACTATGTGGCTGCAAAAGAGAACACAGGACAACATCAGTAGAATAGAAAGACAGGCAGAAATTGCCACATACTTCTGTCAGTGCCTGGATTCTCCTCATGATTACCATCCTAAAGATGGGAAACAGCCTATATACCGCCCCAGAAGTTCTGTCCTAAGTATAGTATAGGAAAACTTCATTCTCCCAATAGCAGCACTAAATAAGTTGCCTCACAAAGTATCTTTCAATTTAAAGTACTTCAAACTGAGCTATAGTCAGCCTCCATTTACCTTCTCAACACAAATCAAATGAGTATCATTTTTCTATCTCTTAATCGTTTCTCATTTAAACATAATACCCTAAAAAATCCCAATCTGGATTCCGGCTACCAGTTTTGAAAGCTCACCCATGTGGGATGAACACTGTCACTACCCAGTCTTTCCCTGTCATACATCTTCCGAGGTAATACACCTCCCCAGTGAGAACCCCTGCAGCTCACCAGGAAGGTCTTCAAGCCTGCAGTGAGATGCCTGTGCAGTACCCACATACTCCCAAAATATAATGGTCAGTAAAAAGTGCATTCCTGTGCACTGGCAAAAGTGTGTGCAGACCTAGGGCAGAGAAGTCTCCTGGCCACACAGGAGAGGATCTGTGCAGAGAAGAGCACATCCCATCCTTCAGCTCAGGCACTTTGCAGACTACAGCAATAGCAGAAGGAGAAACCATGTGCACTTACTGGAGGCTGATATTCTCTATCAGTTTGAAAGAGTTCTTCTTTCTGTGAAGCTCTTCTACCTGCACTGGGTGACCAGCATGGATAGCTCCAGTGATGTCCAAAGCCCAAGAGTCTCGCTCCTCCCTGGAGCAACATTCAAGGAAATAGTCTGTGTTGGTTTTTGTCTTGAGTTTGATGAGTAGCTGTGGAGAAAAAAAGTGCAAAGTAGCAACATCGTTTAGCTGTTGTCCTGCACTTGCACTTCGCTCCTTATAGCGATGGCCTGAGTGGCACAAATAAGTCTGATACGGCATTCCATCTGAGCAGTACAGAGCAGTTCCTGGCCAGAAGGATGGTGGGCACAACTCTTGGGTTTTTTGCCCCATCCTCAGCCCCCCAAATTCCTAGTTTTCAGTGGCAAGCATGGTTTGCATGCATGGAGCTTGTGATACTTAGAGGAGACCACCCAGGTACTGGATTACATAGGAGAGTACTGCCGACTCTGGAGCTTTCCACATCCAGATCTCTACTATCTCAACAACTACAAACTCTCCCTAGGCTCCTTCTGCCAGGAGAAGCACTGCAATAGCCTGCAATTGCCAGAGTCATTTCCTTGGCCTCACTCAGAGGAAGTCTGCATTGCCGCTGCCCGGGGGAGCAGGGAAGCGCAGGAGGCACTTTCCCTTCCAGAGCCCTCTTGCTGGAAACTTTCCAGAGCAGCTGCCCATGATCACTCCGTGGACACAGTCAGGGTATAAAGCAACTACCAGAGACAAATTTCCTTATTTTCCCATTCTCCTCAGGCTTGGTTGAGCTGTTCATGCCGTCCCTCCACACACTGTTGGGCTGATGCATTCACATTTATTCTTCCCACTGTGTGTGTGGGTGGGTGAGGTCTTTTGGGATTTTTTGTTGATGATTATGACTCAGATTTGGGCACAGGGAACAGCAAAGACACAATGAGGAAGTTCATTGCTTGCTCTGGTTACACTGCTAATGGTAGCTTGCACTTGGCTGGGCCTAATTCTGGAAACGCATGACCCAGTGACATGGCTGCAGTAATCAAAGAAATCGAGAGGAAAGACATGGGAGAAATTAGAAAGTGAACATCATTGAGAAGGGATACATTTTTTCAGTCATACCGGTCTGTTCTCATATTCCAGGCATGGACATGTAATAGTGCAGCCGTCCAAAAGGATCCTGCCCTTTGGAGAGGGCTCCTTCTTGCCTCCTTCAATTTTGTAATACAGCAGCTTATCCTGAAGCAGAACGAACCATCTCACCTTCCAGTTACGAACAATATGTCCCTAGAGGGGAAGAAATCCACACAGCTAACTTTAACACAAGCATTGAGAAATGAGTATATTTTTGTTTGTTTTTTCTTCTTGTTGTTTTTTTTTTTTGGGGGGGGGGGGGGGAAAATACTATCAGCAAACTTTAACCCAAGCATTGAAAAATGAGTATATTTTTGTTTTTTTTTTTTTTTTTTTGTTTTTTTTTTTTGGGGGGGGGGTGGTGAAAATACTATAAACTAATAGGAAAGTGTATGAAGAGAAACACAAAAAGTCATCACAAATCCTGTTCTCCCTGAAATGTGTATTTTTAGTAACAAAGTAGCAGAGCTCCATCACTATCTTTTCCTCACTTTTTTTTTTTTGCTCACTTTTCCTGAGCATCTTGCTCAGGAAACTGGCTG